TCTATACGAATATATTTTTATCTATATATATTTTTCCCAAGAATAAGTTCATATAACAAAAAATCTGTTATTAACAAAACAAAACACAAGAACATCTAAATCCCTCTAGAACAATAATTTATATAGATACACATTATACTGTTTCGTATTTCTTTAACAATCCAACTTTTATCACTTTCTTAAATGCACATAATGATCCTGCTTTTTTTTAATCACTCCCCAAATTATTCCAAAGTTTTATTCCTTGAATTAAAGTACACTGTTCCTTCAAACTAGTTCTGAATTTGGGTTTTACAAATATCTCTGTCCCTTTAAGGTTATAACAACACTTCCTCTTAACAAATTTTACTTGGATGTTTAAAGGTAATGTGTTTTTGTGGGCCTTATACATAACCAGYAGAATATTATAAACAACCAAATCAAAGAACTTCAATGTTTTCAATTTACAAAATAATGAATTTGATGGGYGACGACAATGTTTTYCAGTAATAATTCTCACGGCTCTTTTTTGTAATAAAAAAAATAGGATTTGTAATTGTCYGACATGCTTTCCCCCAGACCTCAATACAATAAACCAGGTGTGGACTAACATATACAGTGCTTTATCATTAAATAACTCCCTTACTTTATTTTTTGGCTTATTAGAAATGTTTGTAGACTTCAATACAGAAATAACTGGCCTCACAAATCCTGATGCAACTCAATAGCCCAGGTAGAAAATAAAAAAAGTTGAGTAGTTCCTCTGGACAAGTTCTTTGGTTTAAAACACGAGGTTCTCAAACTGAGGTAGCTTGGGGGGTACACGAAATAAATTAAAATAAACGATTCATTTTGTCATTATTTTAAAAAAGTGCATATATACACGAGGACCAAAGGTTTTTGATGGAGTCCTTGGACATTTCTCTCCTCTCTAAGAGGTCCCCAGACCTAAAAGCTTTGAAGACCTGGTTTAAAAAAATGCTTTTCTTCCTCACTCACAGTTCTGTGCTCGTTTAGAATCTGTTCATTGTTTAGCCAAGAAAATCTGTATATATTTTGCCTGCCGTATCAGATTGACCAGAATCTAGTTCAAATAAAGCCTTACCATCCTCCACATCGAAGGCGTAGGAGGAGAGTCGTAGCGTCGTCCCACAGTAGTCGCACTTGAAGCAGGTGCGGTGGAAGAACTTCCCCTCTGCGCTCAGCCTCTCCATGACGTACACACGCCTTCGACAGAAGAAGCAGACATCGCTGCCTCCGATGTTGGCCGGGAATTCTTTTCTAAGGGAGCCCTGTGGGAAGAGACAGACATGAATCAGTAGTCAAACTAAAAACACATAAATAAACATTTCTGGGGGGGTCAAGGAAAGGCAAACAGAAGAAGGACGAGTAGAACCATTAAAGATTTAGTCACTGACAGTTTAAAGACTCATTTTTTGTCCAAACGATCCAAACTGCAGGTGAAGAATTAGCAAACACGCACTCTGCAGCTGAAGTTAAAGTGTGACTGATGAATTTTACACAACACTCTGGCAGGCGAGGCTGTGATCTGTGCAAACCCCATGCCTTCCACCCTACAGACCACACGCTTACCAAATCCCTGTGTTCAGGCGCAGGACTGGGCCTGGACTCTTCCTGAGACTGAAGCTGATTGGCTATTTGCTCAGCCAGTGTGCTAACTCCTCCCGTGTACATCCTGACACAGTGCTACCAACAGCGTTAAAAAAGAGAAGTGGAAAAATGTTAAAAAGAACAGAAAATGTGTGGAAAACAGAAGGAGGAGAGGTGCGTACAGCTACAGTTAGGGGGGTGGAGGGAACAGGAAGTGACGTGTCGAAGCGGCGTTTCCATGCTTGACTGATCAAAGAGTGGCCGTCTGACCCCAGTAGTTGCAAACCAAACACAGATCATAAAAACAGCTTGATAACTTCTCCATTTAGTCAAAAAAAGTTATTGAATAAGTTTCAAAGTGCATCCGTTTTCTAAAAAAAAGCTTTTTCTGATACAGAACATCCGAAAAAATAAATAAATAAAAATTATTCCAGTATTTAGATTCTGAGTAAATGAATGCATTTAAGAAAAAAACTGCAATTATTCATGTGAAGCAGTCATGCTCTGTTCACACACATGCACACACACAACCACCATTATTTTTCATTATCTACAAACGAACCTAAGAACTGCTGGAAAGATTCACTCAAGCTGATCTGCTAATAACCAAAGTCACCAGACTGTAAACTGTTTTACTTTAAATCCAGATTTAATCTATTTTGGGATTAGAATTCATTTCATTTAACCGCATTTACAGGGTTTTTATCCTCTACACTACAAAAATTAAGACCAACTGCAGTATGAGCCAAACCTAAGCCATGAAAACTATTACTATCGATGCATCTGAACACGGTTGTTTCTGTTTGAATCCCATCGCATCACTTGGCTCCTTTGTGATTATCCATAACGAAAGCTAATTCTTTAACATCAAAAAATAAAACTGGAGCAAAATAACTACTGAGCTCTACCTGAATCACCTCCAGCCAAGAACATTTAAAGTGCCTGTGACGTGCATGTCCTTCAAATACAAAAGGTCAAGGAAAATATCTTTATATTTAAGAGACTTGGCACAATGCACACAATTTTATCCATTTCATCACAAAACTGGCATATTTTCTTTCGAACTTGGCTCAGACAAATTGAAACAGGAAGTGACATCAAAGGGGAACTCTTTAARAAAAGGAACTCTGGTTTTTGTTTATTAAAACAAAATTTTTTTGAAATTTGACTCTTCATGTTTTTGATAATGACTCAAAAATAATCTAAAGAAACATCAGATTCTTCTCTACAGTCTGTTCACGTGCAGACATTCCTCTTTGACATCACTTCCTGTTACTTCCCATGTGAATATCTCAACAACTGTTCATCTCAGCTACTTCAAAATTTTCTTGCAATATATTATCAATCTTATCTTTTCGAAAATGAATTTGTATTTATTACAAAAAACTGATGTCACGGGCATTTTAAAGTCGCAGTCATGCAGGCTTCAAAATATCAGTCACAGCAGCAACAAAGTTCAACAAGTTGCAGGTGAGTTTGTATTTCTAAACAAGGTGCCAACTTATTCAAACCAAGTCTCAGGTGATGTTTAGTCGTGAGCTCTGCGGTGAAATCAAAAAGGAAAAAMCAAGCGCAGGTGAGGTGGGTCAGCATCACGGCACTCCCATTCCTTCCAGGTTTGGAACGGCTACCTGTCTCAAGGTGTCAGAGGTGGAGGGGGGAGAATCGGGGGGACTCTGGTTTCGGGCCAGGTGCCATTGTTCCATAAAAAAACGGGAAGGTTTTTTCTTAGGCTCAAAAGGGAGAGAGGAGAGTTSTTTAAAATTGAGCGTAGACTAAATTCATTCAACTCGATGACGTCATGTTTTCCATTACTTAATTATTTAAAACTGCTTTATGGAATGTAGCGATCAGTTGGGTTTATTGCTTCATATTTTAATTATAAAGAAAAGCTGTATCACCTGGATTTTGATGTCCACTAACGATTGTTGATCAGCCTAATGCTTACTGACAGGTCAATAAAACTGAGTGGATAAAATCCAACCCCAAAACTGAATCTTTAATAACATTTAATGCCAGGTACTAATAAAAAAAAAGAGTCACCTGTGGGCCRACTCGCTTGCCTTCCAATTGAGAGGCAAGCTGCTCAGCTCTCTCCTGAATACTAAGCACAAATATAGGCAACTGGCCCRAGTCCAGAGGCCTCACTGGCTCCTGCAGAGAAATAATTGACTCAATTACCAAAGGGCTCTGCAAAAATAAATCTTTGTTTTTAGAAGCCGCTAACAATTATAAATGCAATACCCCTTATTTAAAGTTTGCTCCGTGGTTCAAACTGAGGCTGGTTTTTGTCTTTGTTTTGAGAATCCCAGCTCACAGTCTGTAATTCATGCAAGCCTGAGTAAGTCAGCTCTGAAAGTAATGCCCTGCATAAAGTAAACATGCGTGCTAGGAAGTTCTTGCAAAAACTACAGACTAAACTTTAGACAAAAAATAAAATAAAATAAAAAAAACACTGATTTGTGCCTTGAAGTGGGTCTGTGTCCAAACTCAGGGGCTGGGTCACCGTCAAAGAACCCCAGCCCCTGAGTTTGGACACAGCTTCAGTCTGCAGCAGCACAAACCTAACCTTTCTGGGGGCGTCTGGAGAAGACAGTGGTGAAGCTGGGCTGGCGTTCAGTCCTCGCGACATGTGCCACTGCTCTAAAAAGAAACGGGACGGCTTTTTCTTCGGCTTCCGGGAGGCAGAAGAATAGCCGAGAGAGAAAATTACACTCACAGAATTCTCACGCAAGAAGCACGATTTTTACTTGTGCAAAAGCTGCCTGAGATATCAGCCCAACAACATGACGACATCAGGGTGTTCACCTTTGGTGGCKTCTTAGGTTTGCCCTTAAACCTTGAGATTAGGCGCTCTGCCCTCTCCTGTATACCAGGGATGTGGATGGGTTCTGGCTCAGTTTGGTGCAACGGCCTCAACTCCTGCCAAGGGAGCTCGGATGAGACGCTGCTTGTGGTTTTATTGCATGTAGCTAATCTCTGATGGATTTTAAACACAACTTAATGCAGAAAACACATTCCAAACAGAATGAGAAACAGAAGTGACATGCATTCACTCCAGTACTGTACCCCGTGYATCAGAGGCCTTTCATAATATTCAAGTTCCTCTTCTTCAGGACAGATATTCTTGAAGGAAGAAATAAGCAGACAGGCATTTTATATGAAAATAGCAAGTCTTTATAAAACAGTATTTCTGCTGCCTATCAGTGAGAAAACTGCTCGTCGTGCAGAACCTCAGTCTGATCAGTTAAAGCAAACTGACATCCCCTGAGTTGACAGTTATCCACAAGCCGTTACACCCCAACAACATGCCAGTCAGCATGAAAACAAGCCGCTCCTCTGGTAATGACATTCACTCACAGAGACCTAAACATCATTACGGAGCTCTCTAAGAAGTAAACTCCGGGAAATGCAGCATTTTATTGATTCACAACACCCACTGCAGCCGCCACGTCGGCGGCGCAGCGGCTGACAATCCAGGAGAGCGTTAGGAGGGAAACGAGACGGGGCGTAGGAGAGTAAAGGAACACTAAAGAGGCTGGCTGTGCATTTGTAGCTAGAGGAAGACAAACAGAACGAGACAGACTCGACACCAGGCTTTCTGTCACCTCGGAGTGAAGYGAGAGCGAGGAGGTGGAGGAGGACGAAGGGAGCAGAATGGTTTTCTTTGGGCAGCTCCGAGAGCCTGAGCTGGACATTTGCTCCGCACCACTTCTGGCCTTAAAATACGAGGAACAGGAACAACACATACAGGAGATAATGACAAAAAAACCTAAGTATAAAATCAAAAAATATATTTACAATAGTACTAATTGTGAACTGCTGGGGGAAATGGTGTCTCCTTGRTTAATAAATAAGAAGTATTAAAAAACGTATTTAAAAAATAGCAAACTACACACATGCACACAGAGTAAACAGCAAAACGACATTACTGTATATTGCATGTTTAATGACCTTAAACTAAATTTGACAGTTAGTTACAGAAATATACAATTAATACCAAAATTAGTCAATCTTCTTCAAAATAACTGAAACAAGCATATTATATTTTATAAAAAAAAATGCTCAAATAAACTTAGCCTATATTTTAAAAAGCTGTGCTAGATTATGAAGATAATTTCTAATCTTTTTATCAACTTTTAGCCTAATTACTCAGCAGTTAAAAGCTTAGTGAAAACTAGAAATGACAGAAATCCCTTTAAAGGAGAGAGTCTGAGGCTTTAAAGCAGGGGTCTGCAACCTTTACGATAAACAGAGCCATTTCTGATGCTTGTCTCACTGATAAAATGTGTCCAGAGCTGCAAAACAAGCTGCAGCTGTGATTATCAACTGGTGGTCCGTGGGCCTTTTGGAGGCTTTTTCAGTAACCTTTACGGCCAGTGTAGGTGGCATTATAAAACTAAACAATATATTGTGAATTGTATTATTTATTATTATCTTTACACATTAGGACAAATAAAAATACCAGATACATGTAAACAAGAAAAATACTGTATATAGTTAACTCCGAATTTCATAAACACTAGTACAACTGAACTATTCGAGCATATGTTATTTTCTAATTCTTTTTATTACGTAGTCGTAAAGGTATTTAAARATAACCCTGGTGGATTTGAGATAAAAGTCATTCATTATTTAAGTAAACAACAGACTAGCATGAGCTAACAGGTTTTGCATTAAGTATTAAATAAACATTAAACAACAACAAAAAAAATTATTCTGTTGTGTTTGGTCACATTTTCAAAGAGCCACTGGTGAGGGACTGAAGAGCCACATGTGGCCCCAGAGCCGCAGGTTGCAGACCCCTGCTTTAAAATATAATATCTTAACTTGGTGAAAGAAATAAAAAAACGTATTCAAAGCAGGAGAAACACAAGCTGAGCAGTGATTCTTCTGCTGATACTAAAAACTGAACAGAAGGCAGGAACCCAAMTGGCTGCCAATGAATGAATAAAATAGCTTAACCCAAAAATAAACCAAAGTTGCAGCACAGACAGGAAACAGTATAGTCACTGAAGAATCATGTGGTGTTAAATAGGGCTGCAATTAACAATTATTGTAATAATCAATTTTTTTAATTAATTGATGAATCGAAAAACATAAAAACAAAAAAAAAAACATTTTTTTATTTTGACCTTTTTATTCCAAAAAAGAAAATTTGGACTGACATAGCAAATCGCACAAAAACAGGTTGCTGTTAGAAATTCTGTTACTATAATATTAAACTGTAACACATAAATAAGTAAATATTTGTCAAATATCTTCAGTAAAAAATAAATGTACACAAAAATATACACAAATGTGTGCCATATCCTTGAAAGTCTCCTAATATTTCCTCTTAAAGAGCTTAGTAAAACGTCATTAAATGAACACCATCATACATCGCCCGACGCAACAAATCCATAATGACATTTGTTGCCAACACTTATAATAATCAATTTTATCAATTCATTGTTGCAGCCCTAACATTAAATAATTAGGACACAGCCAACAAATATTTTTTCATAAAAAATGTTGCTGATTGATTTGTATTCAGCCAAATTGGTTTTTGCAAATGTTTTTATTGCTRTCTTTAAATGCACAAAAATCATTTYTATTATTTGTTYCTGAWTTAGAAAGGTRCYTYAGTGTCTCTAATACTTYTTYATCTAAGGGTTGTGAACAGGTCGCAGGAGTTGGAGAACTACCAAGCTAGAACAATAACTAACCGTACCTGTTCCCCTCTGGTGGGCAGTGTCTGACATTTGATCATTTCTTTGTAGCGAATGCTCAGCTTCTCCTGCTGCTGTGTGCGTCTCTGAACCGTGACAAAACAAGCAAGGAGAGACCATGACGGTGTGGCACCTGCACGYCTCTGACTCAGACACAAAATAAACACACAAAGCTGCACAGCTGCACGATTAAGAAGCCACACAGTCACYGTTTGAAACACTGGCTACTGAGATAATTCCTCTAAATCTAAGACAACAAACCTGGAGTCAGTCCACAACAAAGGGAGTTCAGACTAGAACTGAACAGGCCAAACAACAGCAGCCACCTCTGCGTCACTCCACAGGGACATGGGGTTAGATAATCGGGTTAGTAGTTAGTTTTTACGGGTTAAAGTTTACCTTTCTCCAAGCCGGGACAGGTGCAAGGCGCACCGGCTCTTTCACGGGGTTTTGTGGTGGGGAAAAGGACAAGAGRCAGTCCAGATTGGGTAGAGATTCCCCCTTTACGGTCACACACAGAGGACAGTGCCAATGGCCAGTGAGAGGAACAGAAATATCATGCAAGGCATCGGGAAATGATCCACAAATGGAGGTGAAGCCATGGAGAAAACAACAGAAAAAAAAGGAAGAGTCACAGATGTGTGGTGTACAAAACGAAGGGAAAAAAAGCTAAAATATAAATATGATAGAAGTGCAGATGGAAGTTTTTAAACCTTTTTTTACACTGATATAATGCACCATTTATGCAGGTCTATTTGTCTATAAAACAGAATTATATTAACTGAAAAGTTCAAATATTCTCATTCAAGAATTCTAAAACTATGATGAGTTTCTAATGTATCCCAAAGCAACGCTGCAAAAAACCTAAAGAGCTGACTTTTTTTTTTCCTGCAGAATTGTTGTCCAGAGTTTCAATAACTCGTTTGTTCCTCACATCACCCCGCTGGACCTCAGCAGCCAGCAGACCAAAGCTTTGTGAACCAGCCAATCCCTCTTAAGTGCAGTCAGCACTGTGAGGCCGCCTACACGACCCAGGAACAATACTCTGCTTGACCAAAATTAGTATTCTGGATCTCGACTCATTAATACAGTGGCCTACAGCTCGTCCACCACGGAACAAGAGGCCCCGCCGCGCAGCATGAAAATCTGCACGCTTGTCAAAACAAACACATTAAAACTGTAAAAGGATTCTGAGCTCGTACAAAACCTAAAACATCACAGATCTTTTCTGCGCTGCTTATCTGAATTTTTACCACCGGCTAAARCGCCACACTAATGACTGGACTGTTTCTATCGTACCTGTCTTTTGAGCCCTGAAGGCTGGGCTGGGGCGTTCTCTTCAAACTTGGCGAGCAGCTGAGTGGCCATGACCTTCACTTTGTTGTTATTCCCCACGGCAGCRGAGTCCATTTTTCTCTCGGACAAAACAGCAGGGACAGACGGCCTGTCATCACAACCAGTCCTGGATACTTCCTCCTGYGGGAGAGCAGCAAAAACACTCGTTTTTTTTTTTTTTTTTAAACAAGTGGCTATATTTCTAGTTAGAATATTCGCATTTGTTCTGGTTAAATAAATTGTTTACAAATCATTAGYTCACTAGCTTAACATTTCCAGCTTTACTTGTCAGAACAACTCACATCTTCAGACTGGCTGGTTTTTCGTCTTTTCCCCAAACCGTCCACGTCCTTCTCTTTTTTGTCCTRCACGTGAGAAATCAGAAGTTATTGTACGCTCTTGCGTCACAATAAAGGATGGGGGGCTTTATGTTACAAATAATAATAATAAAAAATATTGCAAATGCAGTTTTCTATTATTGACCTTAGGGTTTCGCTTCCTGGAGATRGCTATGCTCTGACCCAGCTTGCTAAAGAAAGAGATGGGGGACTTTGTGCTGGCAATCAATGCAGCTTTCTCCTCTGGACTCAAGTTGTGGTTGTCTGAACACACATAGCAGGCGTTAATTGAGGACTGTCAGAGAAAAATAGCAATTATCTCAAGGTTATAAATAATAAGGCTGCTGCTGTATCACTGCGTCTCACCTCCAGGTGGCACTGTGTCCTTAAACATCTCATAAAACTGAGTGAGGTACATGACCATGGAGAGTTTGTCGGGCTCAACCACAGACGACATCTCCTTGCCGGTCATGCACGGCGAGATGCCAAATTCCTTCTCTGCCACGTCGAAAGCCAACTGGTTGTTCCTCTCGTGGTCTTGCTCATCCAGGAAGTCGAAGTCACTGAGGAATGTGAAGAGAATAAAAATCAAGGAGGGACAAGAAAAAAAAATCAATTTGTACATTTCAAGGTCTGTTTTTGGCTTCCATGAGAAAAATAGCTTATTCTACAGCAGTTTAATACTTTGAAATTGTATCATTGTTAACTGATAAAATCAAATTTTCATAAAATTAAACTGTTCTAATTAACTCTGCAGGTGATTAAACACAAAGAATTGAAGACAACCTGCAGAACCAAGTGATAACTGTCACCAGACTTTAAAAGGCTTTACACAAATCTTATTTTCCAGCCTATAAGA